TAATATTTAAAAAAATAAATATTTAAAAAAAAATATTTTAAAAAAATTGCTATTATTGTAAAAATTATCTAAGGATACAAATATGTAATCATCCATATATCTTTTTTGAAGATTTTCAGTAATAGCATCTTCGGTAATTTTCGGGAGCAAAACCATATCATCCACTCCAGAAATCTTAACATTTTGACTTTGCCAATGATACATCTGAAACAAAAATATTTTAGTATATTATATTAGTATATTATATTATCATTTCTTTTTAGTTTTATGTTTTTCAAATTTAATGAATATTATAAAAACATTCTATTGGTATTAATGAAATGTCACACATTTAACCAAAAAGAAATATTCCACAATAATTTATAATAATTATATCTATATTACATTCATTTTGAATAATCAGAAAAAATAATTTCTTCTGTTTTTTAAGAATTTGTTTAATGTTTTAATAATGTAATAATAAAGATGTGGGAAAATTTGTTTAAATACAATATCACAATAAAATATTTTATAATTACAAAATCAATATATAGTATTACTGTAAAAAATTCATTTTGATCAGATAATAAAACAATAACATAATAACAATGAAATAACATTAATATAATTTCTTTATTTTTAGTTTTTTACTTTTAATTAAAATCAATGCAAAGAAAAAAGTTATTATTGTTCGATAATTAATTTTAAAAAAATTGAAAAAAAATAAAAAATAAAAAGATTTTATTGTTACATTAATATTGTCTCATTTTTAATAACGAGTCTTAATTTTTCAATTCTTTTTCTTTCATTTATTATTTTTTTTTCCTAACTCCTTATAAATACACAAATATATAAATAGTTTTATATTATATTATTTATATTTAATGATAATGATAATATTTTGGAAATATCTTAATAATGTGATGTGGAGAAATTTTTTTCAAAGAACAGAATATATATGTATATATGAAACTAATTCTTTAATTGACTACGTTGTCAATGGTTATTAATAGTTGTACAAATAATATATTAAAATTATACTTATTCAATATTTTTAAATAAATACAAAAAAATAAATTATGTTACTATTGTTTGAGTTATCGATTCAATGATTCGAATATTAAGGACAAAAGTGGAAGACAAATGATATAACACAGTATTGTTGCTTGTGACAGATGCAACCTTATATATGTTAAAGGTTTCTTCACAATTGAAAGTATGTATTTTATCTAAAAATGTTATATGTAATATGGATTGAATAAAATTACTAAATAAATAAAAACTATTTTTTTGAATAAACTAGTATATTTTTTTAATAAACTAATATAATTTAAATATTGTTAAAATAATATTTTCAAATGTGTTTCAAATGTGTAAATTATATTAAAATAATTATATAAAATAATTATATTTAAAAAAATAATAAATATCAAAAGTAAAAAAAGATTAATAAGATAAGATTATATAATACTAAAGAAAATTGATTTTTATTTGAAATCGTCAAATTTATATCAGCTAGTATAAAATAACATAATTAAAAATATAATAATTATATAAGAAACGATTAAAGAAATTATTAACATGTCCATTATTCAATAATAAAAAGTAAAAGAGATACTAATGAATTTCTATTTTTAAAATTATTTGATTGATTTAAATGAAAATGATAAATAAAATGATAAAAATTATCTTGTATCTCAAAAAAAAATTCTATGATATAAATAATGAAATCGATTTATAATTTGTTGATTCTTTATTTGTCACATCAAAAAATTTATATAATATTAAATTAATAAATTAATTTAGACAAAAAACATTGCATTTTTTTCGGTTTTCTAATTTCTATCATAGAAAATTGCCTTGATTGATATATCATAAAACATTTTACATTTTTTATTTTAATATGATATTTGATATTCAATAATAATATAATATAACGATAAATATATTGTTGCATATACATATGGTATCATATTACAATAGTGTAATCATAATATACTGTATGAAATTCAAATAATATATAATAAATATAAACTTAAAAGATTTATTGAAGAGAGAACATCCAAACTCGCTATGGATTAGACTTAAAATATTTCAAATTTATCAAAATCTTTAAGAAAATAGTTTTTTAATCAATTTACTTGTTATATATTTTAAATATGATTGTAGAAACAGTAGTAAGTAAATACCAATTTAATAAAATTGAATAATATTAAATTTAATAAAAAATTATTTTTACAACATAAATTTGTACAATAAAAACATACAATAAAAAAATTTATTATTTATATTATATAAAAATAAATGTATATATAATAAAAAATACTGATATAATCATAAATATATAAGTAAAATTTATTATATAACATGATAATGATAAATGTATATATATATATTATAATGAATAAATATTAAAATATTAAGTTCGTCCTTATATATAATTTGGTACAAAATATCTTACATAACATATTTTCTCTTTATATATGCATTAGTTGAATATTTGCATATGTTTCAGTTATATAAAAAGTTAATACGATTATAACTATGATTGTTTTTTCAGTCTTCAAAAT